AGGGGTGGGACTTATCCCTACATTTCCCCTTTTTGTCTAAATAAGACAGAACCAAAACAAATACAACTATATACAATAACAACAAATAATAAATATAACAAACAATATTGAGAACAAAATCTTTGCTAAACATTCTATCTCAAGGAGTCCAAATAATGTAGAGACTAACTACAATTATATAATCTTTAAGTCCGTCAAAGATCTGAGAAGGGTATAAACACTACTCAACAAATGAGATATATCCAAAATGTGCAACAATTGACAGAGACAACTGACTACCTGGGCAATCACCCAAAGTCTCGTTTGCAATGTTGAGTCAACCAATTTTGGCTAAGGCCTAACATAACTGACATACCATTATTAAAGGCAAGGAACTTTTCAAAACTATCTTACCCTGTCGTGGCAGGATATGACAGTCCTGTTTTATCCATTGATGCACGCTCTGTATCTCTGTCAGTGGTTGAGGTATGGGCATTTCTTTGCCCAAAGGCCAGTTCTGCCAAATAGAAAGGCTCCAGGTGGAGTGTCTTTGCTGCTCAACATTCTCTCGGGAATAGAGCGGTGTTGCCAGGAGCAATTGTGTCCCACTATCACGAAACTCTGAGTTAGATTAAAGGCCATTTTCTACAGCTCTTTGAAGAGGTCGAAGATTATCTATCTATACTGAGTATAATCTCTATATATCTAGAGAACCTGATTTGTCTAATTATAAATGACAAACTTAGATGAATATTTATCTATATAATTCTCAATATCTATCTAACTTAAAGACTAAGACAATAAACAACTGTGTAACAAATGAGGATAATGACCTCCAAATATAAACACTGTACAAATATACATTGCAATATGGTAAATATATATCAATACACAAACATTATATAAGTATCTTAATCAGAGGTAGAAATGTACACTGCAATATGGTAAATATATACAATATATATTTATCAATACAATATATGTCAATACATAAAAAATGTTTTAAACAGAGATAGAACCATGCATGCATAAAATAGTCAATATAATTTAACTTTGTATCAATATACAAGAATGGATACCAATATATTTGTCTAAAAGCAGTAACTCACAATTATAAATCTATTATCCCATCATTCCCTCTTCTTTTTTACAAAATTATCCCTGAGCTTATAAAATTCCTCCCCCAACCTCCCAACCCCTAAATGATGTTCCTAAACCTAGGCGTAAACTTTACTGGGAGAGGGGACGTCGTCCTCTAGAATTACTTCCAGCTGTCATGGGTTCGACGTTCTTTCTGGGGGATCCTGTGAAAGTAAAATGATGGTAAATTTCAAGATCAATGACTTTTAAAATTGCAAATAGTCTCTGAGTATTTTGTGGAGGTCTGGCCAGAATGTTGTACAAGATGTGCACCATTTCAGCTAACCAAGTTGGGATCATCTTGTGCAGCTGGTATCCAAAACAGGTCTTGTAGTAGAGCTATCAGTATCATGACGTCATATAAACCAGGTGGAGTTGTTGCTGTGGGGCCCCATCTTCTTCCTGGAAAATTCAAATGTCACTTCAGGTAAACTCATTGTTCATTGTGAAAAACTTAAACATTAATCATATAGGCATATGTATATATATATATATATATATATATATATATATATTCAATGAAAGGCATGATAGATATATTCAATGAAAAGTATGATAGATATGAAGAAAAGCAAAGATGTTTTCTAAACTCATATTTCTTTCTGTCCCATATCATGGCTCTTGACATGAGACAGAAAGTCCAGAAACTCTGGGTTTTTCTCTTACTAACAGGCTTGGAAATGGAGAGGGACTGAGCCAGAGTCCAACTTCAAAACCAGCTCTACATATTTATAAAGAAATGTTTAATAAGATATATATATATATATATATATATATATATATATATATAATTAATACTTACAAAATGTGTCCATCCATCAGTAATTGAATATTCAGGGTCCCTTAATTTCTTTGAAAATGAGTATTTTCCTGTGGAGATAAGAAAAGAACCCTGCCTCCAACCTATCTGTATTTCTTGCACGTTCTCTGCAGAAACTGGAAATGACTGAACCATGTTTGCCATGGGGGCCTGTGAGGCCCCCCCTCTCACGTTTCCCGTCTGTATCAGGTTGCCTTGTCTATCTCTTGTAGACCTGCATTCATTCATCCAATGTCTGCCTTTTCCACATCTTCTACATAAACCTGAAGACTGAGTCCTCCTATTTCTGTTATTTCTAGAAGATGCATTATTATTATTATTTCTGAAAGATGCATTATTATTATTATTATTATTATTATTATTATTTCTGAAAATCCGTTGTCTACGATTCCTTTTCATATGACCCATTTTGCCACAATTAAAACATTTGGTATTCTGGTGTCTCCTTTTACCATTGGAAATTGCTTCTTCTACCCATGCTTCAGTGCCATAATCAAATGTATCAACATTGAGTGTATACAAGACCCATTCTTCCAAGGTCGCTTATCTGAGCTTTAAAGGACCCAAAATCCTTTGGCATTCCACATTTGCATTTTAATAAGCCAAAGACTCAATCATTATATGTCTTGCTTCTGGGTCAGATATCCCTATTTGTACAGCCTTAGTTAATCTTTGTAAAAAGTCACTAAAGGGTTCTCTCTGACCCTCTTTAACTCTGACAAATGATTCCATTCCCTGTCCTGGGTCTTGTATCCTGTCCCAAGCCCTTAAGGCTGCTGTAGTACGCATGGAGAGTGTGTTTTCATCCAAATTAGCTTGTTCCTGAGGGTCGGAAAAGAGCCCTTCACCTAGAATTTGATCTAGGGAAATGTCAATTCCCTTCGCTTTTTCCTGCTGTTCTAAGAGTCTAGCCTCTTGCCTGAATAAGCATTTCCATTTCAATTGTGGTCCACTCTCAAGTACCGCAGAGCTCAGCTGGAGCCAGTTTGAGGGGGTTGTTCTGCTTGTCGTGGCCCAAGTTCTTAGCATCTCTTTAACAAAAGAGGCTTGCATCCCAAATGTCATGACAGCCTGTTTTGTTTCCTTGAGATCATTCATACGGACAGGCTCCCACGTATCCTCCTTGATGACCCTAGGGTTTCTGGAACCAATCACCTTCTCTGTTGTTATTACTGGAAAGGCAGGTAGAGCTGTAGGTAGAGCTTTGTGGAAATTGTCCCGGAGAGATTTACCCACAGATGTAGTTAAAATTTGCCTTTCTACTCTTTGCTCTTCTTCATCAGAATTTAGAAATTCCTCAATCTTTTCAATTCTATTCACCATTGCCTTCTGCAATGTCTGAATCTCCTGTCCAGAATTATGTTCCAAAGCCTTCATTGAGGATTCTAAAGTATGAAGTTTGTCCGTTAGAGATAACATCACATTTGGACATAATTTTTATGGCCTAAACCGTGCCTTCTTGTATTGACAATCTTTCCATCAATCTGTCACAAGCTTTAGACAAAATCCAATTGTCACATTCAGCAGTTTTGATTCTCTCAGTTAATGTTTCATTTCCTACAGAAAAAGACTGAAGCTTACAATCCAAATCAGCTGTTCCCTCTTTCATAGTAATAAATTTCTCCTTAATATCAGCCACTAATGTTTCAGTTCCCACAGAAATGGACTGAATCTTACGATCCAATTCAGCTGTTCCCTCTTCCATCGTAATGAATTTCTCCTTAATATCAGCCACTAATGTTTCAGTTCCTACAGAAAGGGACTGAAGCTTATGATCCAAATCAGCTGTTCCCTCTTCCATAGTAATGAATTTCTCCTTAACATCAGCCTGGAGGCCTGGAGAACTTCAAACTGATTCTTGAGAAGATTGTTGTCATTCTCAATTGTTTTTAAGCGTTTAATCTCTGCCTTAAGAATCCTGGATTCGTCTCGTAAAGACTTTATCATATTTCTATTATCAAACCATTTAGTGCCAATGAAAACTATGAATCCCAGAAGGATTCATAGTTGTGGGGTGATAGATACCTCTTGTAAAATCTCCCACAAGGTACAATTAAAAAAAACTGTTAAATTCTTGAACAGTAATGTGCTCAGACATTTTATTTATAAAAGAAAAATTTTTTGCCTGCAATGATCGGTTCCTGCCAGTGGTGGTCTCTGTGGTTTTGGAGCCTGTCCTGGAACTAGCTCTTGTAGACCAGGCTGGCCTCTAACTCACAGAGATCCGCCTGCCTCTGCCTCCCAAGTGCTGGGATTAAAGGCATGTGCCACAACCACCTGGCTGGCCTTGAACTCACAGAGATTTGCCTGCCTCTGCCTCCCAAGTTCTGGTATCAAAGGCATGCACCACCACTGCCCAGCCAAGTCACTTTGTATCAGACCAAATCTGCCGCTGTGGCAGCTTTTGTTGCAAAACCGCAGGTGCTTGAGCTTCCGCTAATTCAGGCAGTGGGTTCCACGGCAAACTTAGCCAAGGCAGGCAGAATGGGCCTGTGTTGCCCAGTGTGTCTCGGAATCGGCACTGGGGCCCAGTTACGAACTGAAAAACAGCACCCGGCAGGGTGCTGTGTTAGCTAGCAGGCTACCCGCTTGTGTCGGGGGCAAAATAGCCTGACGTTGGATGCCAAAATGTAGCGGCGTAAACGAATGCAAACAGATTGTAAAAATATATATACAGCTTTTATGGCGAAATAGACTTACAGAACCACCGTTCCTCAGAGACCAGGAAAGCAGAAGGGACGGCTGGGAGCATGCTCGCCAAATTTATAGGCAAACATTAGCCCGAGGGGAACACGCCCCCCAAGGGGAGGGACTTATCCCTACATTTTCCTACCAGGTGTTTCTTCCATCCTGCTCCTCCACTTGATGCCTGCCTCCTTTTTTTTTTTTTTTTGTCTTCTTTGTGAACCTTTTCTCTTTTACTGGTCTATAACTCCTCTACTCATACCATTCTTGTGTAAATATGTATATTTAACAATTAGAAACCAGAGGTTCTGTTGCTCTCTATCCTCTCCTAAGCTACCTGTCTTTGCCTCCTCAAACTGCCATCTTGCAATCAGTCATGGATCAAGTAACACAGTTTGTTGAGCCAAGTCAGCAGTTCGTAAAGGACTCAATTCGGCTGGTTAAAAGTTGCACCAAGCCCGACAGAAAAGAGCTCCAGAGGATTGCCATGGCCACAACCATAAAATTTGCTATCATGGGATTCATTGACTTCTTTGTGAAACTGAACCATAACCCTATTAATAACATTATTGTGGGTGGCTGAGGGCTTTCTCTTCACGGGAACTTGGAGCAAATGAAGGTGTGAGAAGCTTATGAAGTAAAATGTTGCCTGCATACTTTCTTTCCCCCTCCCAAAAGGTTTTGTATTTTTAAGCTAAAATAATTTCAAAATAAACATTTTTCCCATGGAAAAATAAATGAGAAACTAGGATCTACATATGAGAAAGAACATACAGTATTTACCTTTCTGAGCCTTAGGTTGTCTTACTTGTTTGATTTATTTTTCCTGAAAATTTCATTTTTTATTATTTTTTTCCTTCTTTATTTATTCTTTGTCTTTCACATCATGCTTCTCCATACCATTCATTTCCCTGTCTCTCCATTTCCAACTTCTGCCCTTTCAAGTCCCCCCCAAAATAAAATAAAGTAAGATTTAAGAGAAAAAAAGAGATCAGGGAAATGCAAATCAAAACAACTTTGAGATATCATCTTACACCTGTCAGAATGGCTAAAATAAAAAAATCCAATGATAGCCTTTGCTGGAGAGGCTGTGGAGGAAGGGGTACACTCCTCCATTGCTGGTGGGAATGCAATCTTGTGCAACCACTTTGGAAATCGGTGTTTCGGTTTCTCAGGAAATTCGGGATCAACCTAACCCTGGACCCAGCAATACCACTCTTGGGAATATACCCAAGAGATGCCCTATCATATGACAAAAGCATTTGTTCAACTATGTTCATAGCATTATTATTTGTAATAGCCAGAACCTGGAAACAACCTAGATGCCCTTCAATGGAAGAATGGATGAAGAAAGTGTGGAATATCTACACATTAGAGTACTATGCTGCGGTAAAAAACAATGACTTCCCGAATTTTGCATGCAAATGGATGGAAATAGAAAACACTATCCTGAGTGAGGTAGCCCAGACCCAGAAAGATGAATATGGGATGTACTCACTCATAATTGGTTTCTAGCCATAAATAAGGGTCACGGAGTCTACAATTGGTGATCCTAAAGAAGCTAAGTAAGAAGGTGAACCAAAGGAAAAACATATAGTTATCCTCTTGGCTGTGGGAAGTAGACAAAGTTGCCGGGGAGAAAATTGAGATCTTGGGGGTGGGGTGGGATGGGGGTAAGGGGAGAAGGGGAGAGAAAAGGGAGAAGGGGAGGAAGGGGGAACTTGGGGAAAAAATGAGGATTGGGATAAAGGAAGGTTGGATAGGGAGCATGGAAGCACAATTCTTTGTTAAGGAAACCACCTTAGGGTTGGCAAGAGACTTGAACCTAGAGTGGCTCCCAGGTGCCCAAGCCGAGGCCCCCAGTTAATTCCTTGGGAAGCTGGGGATAGGGAACCTGAAATGACCCTATCCTATAGCAATACTGACAAATATCTTGCATATCATCATAGAACCTTCATCTGGTGATGGATGGAGATAGAGACAGAGACCCACACTGGAGCACTGGACTGAGCTCCCAAGGTCCTAATGAGGAGCAGAAGGAGGGAGAACATGAGCAAAGAAGTCGGGACCACGAGGGGTGCACCCACCCACTGAGACAGTGGAGCTGATCTATTGGGAGCTCACCAAGGCCAGGTGGATTGTGACTGAAAAAGCATGGGATAAAACTGGACTCTCTGAACATGGCGAACAATGAGAGCTGATGAGACGCCAAGGACAATGGCAAGGGGTTTTGATCCTATGCAATGTGCTGGCTTTGTGGGAGCCGAGCCAGTTTGGATATTCACCTTCCTAGATATGGACGGAGGGGGGAGGACCTAGGACTTACCACAGGGCAGGGAACCCTGACTGCTCTTTTGACTGGAGAGGGAGGGGGAAAGGAGTGGGGGGAGGGGGAGAAGAGTGGGAGGAGGGGGAGAAGGGTGGGAGGAGGGGGAGGGAAATGGGAGGCTGGGAGGAGGTGGAAACTTGTTTTTTTTTCTCATTTTCTCAATAAAAAAAATTTAAAAAAATATGTGTATACACACATCCTTAGTTTGAAGTATTCACTTCTAAATAAAATAAAAAAAAATCAGTCTCATCACGGAGGCCGTAGTGTCACAGTGAGTCATGCAGTAAATCATTTTTCCTGTATATCTTTTTTTTTTGATTTTTTCGAGACAGTTCCTGTATATCTTTACTTGCAAATGTTCACTGCAAAGAGTCATTGGTCTGATTTGAGGTCTCTGGTGTCTGCTATACTATGGATGCTTCCCTTACTGGAACTCCTCTAGGTTATACTGCCTTTGCTCTGTGTTGTGGACATCCTGCAGCTTTGGGTCTGCAGGGCCTGACCTTTCATGTACTCCAGCAGATCACAGATGGGGTGGATATTGGAGTGAGTCAACTCATATCCCTGGTTCTGGGCCAGGGTAGTTGCAGAACTGGTCAACCCACCAGCTCTCCTTACCACCGGGGTGAGCTTTCCTGTATTGTCCTGGCAAGTTCACTCCTTGCAGTGATGAGCAAGGGGCAGGACAAGTTCCCTTGCTTTCATGTCCTCGAGGTCAGATCACCCACACCTACACCTTCAGGGTCAACTCTACCATGTTGTTCGGGACTGGCATAGGGTCCCCTCTCCTGAGAACTGCAGCTGACGAGACGCAGGGATAGCGCTCCGTCTCTTATAACCTCAGAGCTTACTGGGAAGGGGGTGCTGCCTCTTTCACACACCCATGCTGCCACATAACAGAAGTAATAGGGACAACACTGCCATGCTCATAATTTTGGAGCTGGCTCACACACACCTTTGCCAACACGATTGACTCTAGTGGGCTGCTCAGGAGAGGTGCAGAGCCTGCTCTCCCGAGTGTTGCAGCTGGTGGTAGGGAGGGACAGCTCTCCTGCTCTTATGACCTCAGGACCAGTTCTCTCACTTGCCTTAAGCATTGTTGGGCAGGTGGGAGCATTTTTCTTTACATTGAATAAAATTCCACTGTGTGTGTGTGTAATATATTTTCATGACTACTTCAATTTTCTTTTTATCATGAAGAGAATAGCAATAAGTATGAAAACATATGTGACTTGATATTATCCTGAGGGGAAGCTGAGGCCTTTTGTAGTTGTGTTTTTAGTTTTTCTGTGAAGACTCAATATTGATATCCAGTGTCTGCACCAGTATGAAATTCCTCCATTTCCCCCAGCCACGAGTAAGAGTTTGTCCATCTCTACATCCTATCCAGTATTTTTTGCCATTTATTTTTCGATGGTGCCCATTCTGGCTGGAGTGAAGTGAAATCTTGCAGTACTTTTAATTTGCATTTTCCTGATGGGTTATTGATCTGAGAAAAATCAGGGACACTTCAAGATAAAGGTATAAACAAAAACTGCAAATAAACACCCTATAGCACACAAAATTGTCCCAAGAGATGAAAATAGGACTATATCAAGTTAATTAAAACAGTTAAATAACAAAAGAAAGTGTTTGTGGATCTAAGAGACATCCAATAAAATGAGAAAATAGTTTGATGACTATTCCTTAGTGAAGGGTTTAATATTAAAAATATATAACAAACTAAACAAATAAATTAAATACCAAACACTTCCCACAATTCTTACAATCAATTTTGTAATTTTCTACAAGCCATAAACTTCTCTGAACATCTAAAGTTGCTCATATGTATTATTATTTTTATTTCATGTATAAATAAACATATCATAAAGGCTCAATAAATTTGTCACAGAGATCAGGAAAGTGTTTTTTTTATTAGAAGTGCATTGCATCTTATTGGCTTCCAATGCATGTATTTGATTTACTATAAATGGGAACATTTTGTCAATGAACATCTTTCAATTAGGAAGGAAGACTTCTTTCCAAATTAAAGAGTTGTAGCAATAATGAAATAGAGAGGGACAAAGATTTTGCAAGTGTTTTAGGGAGAGCAATTGATGAACATAAAGAAGAACAAAGGGTTTACAGACTTCTCTGATCCCTGGACATGTGAAATATTAAATCTTTCCATCCATTTCCTTCATGTGTAGAACAATGTCTAAAAATTAAGCTGAACTTTTCACAATTCAAAAGAATATATTGTGAGATAATTTAAATAGAAAAGTTTTAATGGAAGTTCTTAGAAAAAGTACAGGCTGAATTATTTTTAAAACTTGAGATGGGAATGCGGCGAAGCTTACTAAGGGAAATGAGGTCTACATCATAAAGGTGTTAAGGAGGTAATTTTCAGGAGATGGCAAGGCAGCAAGCAGAAACAAACATCACCAACCTTCTGGGAGCATCTCCCTCAGAAGCTGATGTATTCTGGATGATGAGCCTAACATCAGTAGCTTGCAAGCTGGAGACTTCCTGCAGATTCACTCTTACAAGGTCAGGCCATAACACCAGCAGAAATCTCATATATTTTCAAGTACTCTGCAGATTCTCAATGGACTATTTGCTAGGAGGAAATCATAGAGAGTCTATACATTTTGGAAGAAGGCTGGTAGGTAGAAGCTAAAAGAAGCACAGTAGAGGAAACAAAAGGGTTAGACAATCCAGAGTTTTACCCCTTATTTTGCTAAGATCTGTATTACAAAGGCATTGAAGTATGTCAGTACAGAATGTTTTATGAAAAACTGCCAGTACCATACTTACTCCTTCAGCAATGGCATCCTTCAGATTGTGTGAAGGATTTTTCTGGAGATACCCAGGTATGTTGTGTATCTAAGAACATGTGGATATGTCTCAAAAAGGATAAAGAAAGATGGTGTAGGATAACCAAACTTCTTGATTCTACATCTGTGTAACACTTGAAGACACAGGGCTGGTTGGTTCCTATGGGATACATCAGACATCTGTAGACGCCACCTATTTCTAAAAACGTAGGCATGGTCTCTTGCCTTTCTCTGTCTCATGGTTCTGGAGTTTTATCATGTTTCTGGAGCCCTTGTGGGAAATTCTACAGTAGGAATTCTTTCCTGTGATGTGCTTCATGTTAAAGACAACCTAAGATATTTATTTTTATTATTTAACATGCTTATTTAATACGGAGTTCCTAAATTTAGCTCTGTGATATCTTTCCTTGATTGTAAACTTGACTACATCTGGAAAGA